TTAATGACATCATGCTATAAGGACATACAAGGCAGAGATGGCAGTTATTCTAGGCATGTAAGGAACATGTAAATCTCATGAGTCCACAGAAGCCTGTGGCCTCAGGGAAGCATTCCAGGGAGTCTTGGTTGAAACAGCTCCTCCAACATGAAGGATGAGTTCCTACACCATGCACGGCCTCCTACAGGAAACAAGCACAACGCTTTGAGGTCCTATTTATGGAAGCAGCGTTTGTCACATGAGTGTGCTGCTCTCACCCACTTACGGGGTGTCTCAGAATTGAGCTAATTTTGAGAAGGGGCCCAAGGCAGAGGAGGTGCTCCATTTGGTTCGGGCTGCAACGCAATCTGTTTTGTCATCTATGACTCAGTGGATCTCATGGTGCTCAAAGTGTCGATGGCAGATTGGAGAGATGGACCTTACCAGTGACAAACGCTGTTAGGAGAATCAGTGTCAACTATAAGGGTTTTGGAACACATACATGCCTTATTTGTCAAATAACTATTTTTCTTTTGAGAAAAAAGGGTTGGCTTGCTCCTAAGCTACGGAAGAGACTGAATGGCTCAACAAGAAGTCAGATTACCACGAAGTCTGAGCTGCTCATCTTGAGCTGCATATTATTTTGATCCATCAAGCCACCAAGTCAGGTTCACCAAAACACGCAGCTCCACTGGAGACTGTCAGCTTTCAGGTGGACGTGCTGACCTGCCCTGGGTATGTAAGACATCTTCTGACCCCATCTGACTGCTTATTCAGTGGGCTCATGGACACAGTGACCATGCAGGCAGGGACTGTCTGCTCCATTTTTTAAACAATCTAGACGTCCTTGCCAAGGCTGACCTGGCCTTTCAAAAGCATTGCCAGCCAACTCTGAGCCTTCCAAAAGGTACCAAACTCAGGGGAAGTCCTAGACAACAGCCACCTGAGAGCAGGTTACATAGACCTCTCTCTCTCTTTTTGTTTTTAGACCAAGTTTCACTCTTGTTGCCTAGGCTGGAGTGAAATGGCACAATCGCGGCTCACCACAACCTCTGCCTCCTTCCCAGGTTCAAGTGATTCTCCTGCCTCAGCCTCCCAAGTAGCTAGGATTACAAGCATGTGCAACCATGCCTGGCTAATTTTGTACTTTTAGTAGAGATGGGGTTTCTCCATGTTGGTCAGGCGGGTCTTGAAACCCCAACCTCAGGTGATCTGCCTGCCTCGGCCACCCAAAGTGCTGGGATTACAGGCGTGAGCCACTGCTCTGGGGCGCCTGGCCAATGTAGACGTCTTTAATCACGTAGGATAACAGCATTTTGTCCTCACTGTAATAGGTAATGCTTCTGAACTTGGACTTTCTTTGACGCCTGTGCCTGCATTATCGTCCCAGGTCCGTCAGAATGCCTTGCTCACCGTCATGGTATCTTATACAATATTGCTTCTGACCAAGGACCTCACTTTACACTGAAAGAAGCAATGTGGTGGGCTAATTTCTGCCCCTCAAATAGCAGCTGGCCTTATCCAGTGCTGGAATGACCAACTGCAGACTTAACTATTGTGCCTGCAGGACAACCTTGCATAGAAAGGTAGCAATGGGGCCCTAAAATCTATAGAGTTTCTGTCAAACTCAAAGCTGACATATAGTGCTATTTGTCCTGGAGTCAGGATACATGGCGACAGGAACCAAGAGAATGGCACCTTTCACTAACCCTCAGTGACTTATTTGCAAATTTTTTGTTTCCCGTTCCTTCGCCTCTAGGCTTGGCCAGTTTGAAGGTCTTAATAACCAAGAAGGAACTCTTCCACCCCAGAGGATTCAAGTGTGGTTTAATTGAAGTAAAAATTGAGACCCTGGCTGTTTCAGACTCCTTGTGGCAGTGGGTGAATTGCAAAGAATAATGTAATGGGGTTGGCTGTGATGACCGTGACCACTTGGAGAAATGGAGTTGCTGTCGTATGATCAGCAGAAGGAGGTGAAAGGCAGAATTCAGTCATGGTAGTGCCTCTGCTACATGTCCAGTGGCAAACATTAAGAAGCTTAGATTCCTCAGAAATCAGGGCTATGCCTGACTAGCTGAGATGCTTGATGAAGGGAGAGGGGGATTTGGTAATGTCTATTAAGGAGAGTAGTCATAAATACCGATTACATCTTTATGGCCAGTCACAAAAACAAGAACTCAAACTTATATTTTTTTCTTGCTGTGTCATATATATGTATTTTATAAATAGATGCAAAAGTAATTGTGCCATTAAAAGTAATGGCAAAAAAAAAAAAAAAAACCCGAAATTACTTGGTGCTAACCTAATAATGAATTGTTCTTTCCTTTACATTTTTTTCCTCTACTATTTTATATAGGACAAACTAGTGGTAGATAATTTAGTCCGTAAGATACAGAATGTTGAGATGAGATTGTGACAGAATTAGAGGAATGGCTATCTCCCAGAGCTCCTGGGCTTGGACCTGGACACAGAAAATGATGATCCTTTTGGATGTAATAGGGAATGTCTTTTCTTTTCTTTTTTTTTTTTTTTTTTTGA